CATTATGTGTACAGTGGAAGTTCGATTCACGAACAATTCATTTTCGATAAATATCTGCTGCTCCCGTTTATAGGTACTACTTGAGAGGATGGGAAGAACAACTCCACAGTGTTTGCTGACCGTCATTTCTCAAACTAGTGCTGTTCTATGCTTTTGAAGAAAATTGTGTTCATGAAATGCTGAGTACGACAAAGATATTGAAGAGATCGTTTTATTTTTAATGAATTCATTGTTGCAATTGGTCAGCGAGCAGAAAACTAGTGGAAAATTTTCAAGGACACTGAAATCTGACTGTTACACAGTCTCTCGAAGCACTGTTTTGGAATTCATTAAACGAGACGCTCTGTTTCCGATCGATCAAATATCATATTTGTGCCCTTTTCAAATCCTGCTTTGCATTCTACGAACAATCAGTCTATCATCAGTGAAACTATTGACATCCATCTCTCTATCACTATAAATGTGAAGTGGAGAGAATCAAGTTGATTGCAACTGAGTAACAACACAATTTCCACCGATCACTAAAAAAAAGTCTGCGTCTGTTTATAAATGTTTATAAATGGATTATCTGAATGAATTTTGCTCGTACACCGAACTTTCACTGTACATTTTTTCATTCTCCTCACAAAACCCGAAATGTTGTACTTGATCAATGCCAAGAAACGGACAATTTACTTTTCTCTTCTTTACTTAGGGCGTGATATGTGAGCCGTTTAAATATGTCAACACGAAATTGCTCAGAACTGATTTAACTGCTTGCAACACAAACAAACATTCGAGAGTACGTTACACTTCGACAAGAGTACAGATTCTTAACAAACTCTACTTAATAAAAGAGTTTACTCAACAACTTAATGGCCTCATTTCCATTGCGCCGATCATTCATAGTGATGAAAAACCATTCGAATGTAACATTTCAACACGAACGAATAACGATGGCGATGAAAAGATAACGAATGAAGTGCTAACAAACGAACCGTTAATCAATCAACGCACAAAACAACTTAACGAATGAAGCGCACTTAACCGAAGAGAAATGAATAAAAGACATCACAACATCGACTAACTTTGGGATCTTTGGAATCTCTCGGTGAGAGCGTTGTCGACGGGAAATCGAACTGAAGTGGTGGATTGTGCGGTGGACTGGGCGGCAGTGACAGGGAGGAATTTTGTGTGGACGATGTGGTGGCAGCAGCGTTGGTGATATGCGAGAATTGTGGATTTGCGAACGGCAAATGCGTTATGCCAGCTGGACTAGTACCCGAACTTGTCTCATACATTGACGTAGAGCCAACGAACGCATTCGGCAGATGCGCTCGAGACTGTCGAACTCGTTGACGTGCCAGCTGAAGTTCGCGACGTTGCCGTTCCACGAACATTTCCAACTCCATCTTCTGTCTGAAACCTTTGCGAATCATTAATCGTTGCATTACTCAACAATAGCGGATTGAATTCGATTGTCTCTTGGAATTAAAATGGCCCAAAAATGATCAAAATGAATTTAAGGGAATGAATATGATCACCATACACGATCATTATTGATCATAAGGATGCGTTTTCGAACGCATAAAAAGCGAATCGCTTTCAGAAAACCAAAAAAAAATTCGAAACCGAAAAATGGACCATACAAAAAACAAGAACATGCCGATTAATCAATGCTTGTATCGTTTCGTCATCGTCATACTCCAGATCTTCATCCATCTAAAAATTCAACCAGAATCTTATTTAGTACGGTGAAAAATCATCTCTCTACTAGAAATTCATCAGTATAAAGTGAAGAATGAAATAACTCGGAATTTCCCTCTGTTCACTCATACTAAGTAGAATTATTATTTGGTCTAGAATCTCATTTCAAGTGGACGATGTCCCATTTTGAAGTTGTTGAATCAAAAAAAAAACATTTTCTACTTTCACAAGATTTCGGAATGGTCATTGACAGAATCTAAGGGGTGATCTGGTGGAAAGTGGTGTCGGAAATCGCCATAAGAAACGCATCAAATGCAAAATGATTTAACTGAAGAATAGATAATGAAATATGGCTTGAAGATGCACACCTTGAAAGAAAGTCAACAGTAGAAAGAGAGCCTGGCTTTGCGGTGACTAACTGTGGGGCTCATAAGAAAAATAATCATAAGAGAGATTCTGAATCATCCGAGTGAATCATGTGATTCTCTAACAAAAATTTCTCTCTCAGCAGGTGGTTCGCAATGATCAAAAAATATAACTCGCAAGTTCTGGATTTCTATCAGTAGAATGATTCACTCGTCGATTGTTCGACGTATTAATTAACAACTCAAATTCAGAATGACTCGTAAAGAAATGTAATCTACGTAAAACGATCGAATCGAGAGCAAACCAAATGCAACATTTTTCATTGACGCTGATATTAATCGGAGTAAAGGCAGCGCTGAAGCAATGCGTCAAACAAGCGAAATGCTTTTTTTGTGCAGAAGCATTCATTCTTTAATTTCATGAGCCTAAAATGGATGAAGTAAAAAGCGACAGTTGATCTTCAAGCAAACACAATTAGAATAACACGAAAGCGAAGTGATGGCGTCTTTACGAATGCACATCAATACTTCCAAAATGTTGAATGCTTGATCACTGAATAAAATGGCGTTAACTAGAGACAGTATCGTCAAGGCTGTAAAAATATTATGACAACGATAATAACGAAAACGTGGTAGATTTTTCTGAATGTTTTACAGAGAATTTTCACAAATCTGTGAACTAATTTTGGCCACACTTTGATGGAACAGTTGAGAAGAATAACTGAAGAACTAATCAAAAAGCGACATTCGTCTAAAGAGAGCAAAAAAAAANGACGAATCACCATTCATCGCTTACACAGAGACGGCGACGCAATTGCTGCTCTCCGAGGAGAACCTCCGAAAAGAAATCACAATAAGGATCTACAACAAGGATCGATCAATGGGCTGGATCCGGACCCTGAGAGGATTTCATTCAGTTCAGAGAAATTTCTTGAAGATGCATGGAATCGGATTCACGAGCTGATCTTAAACCTACGATTCTTCTGACTGGTCCAAGAACCATTTTGAATGATACTCATATACTTTTAAAATGATTCCACATAAGAAATCCAAAGATGAGCTTTGGGCATTTTTTCGTAATGTTCGCAGCAGGTGGAAGATTTCTTTTTTTGGAAGAATGCAACTGTGATGTTGATGAGAACGAAAAATACGAACGATCAAATTGAATTTCTCTCTCTGCTGAAGAGTTCCTATGAATGAGTTGCTTAACTTCTTTTTGTTCGTTTTTGAGGGTGGAAACGACCTCTGAGATCATAACTGTCACTTCTACAATTGAAAACTTCACTTCGCAACTCAAAAGTAATTTCAATCAAAATTTGAATTTTCTTAAAATTTTATAATTGATAGGTTTTCAAATTTTCTATCCGACAACGTTTTTTGATCACTAAAATAAAAATGACAGCATCACTAATGTTCCATAAGAAATTATTTGACCGAACAAACGACGAAGGAGAAATGATATGTTAACATTCGGATGGTTAACGGTTAGTTGAACGAAACAAGAAGGTTAGTGAAAGAAGGGAAAACGAATAAGGAACTAAAAGCTGTTCACATAATCAAATTTTCCTCAAAAGCGATCACTGATTATACACAGTGTTTGACACAAACAAACTACTAAGTCACATATTCCAGGAACAGATAATGAAATAACAACGCATCAATACAACAAAATCAGACACTTCGTGTACGAATGATTATTCTGTTAATGTGTTAGTAAAGCAAACAGTAGGATACGGCTCACTCGACAGCGACACTTTAATATATGCGGTACAAAAGTTTCGATAATGCTCTCAAAAAAGGTGTGCATCAACAAGTATCGGAATTTTTATCGTCGTCATGCATAAATGTCACACAATTGATGGGGCATCACTTCGGATAGAGAGAGCTTTTGAACGGATCAACCAAAATGAAAGATACTGATTTGAGGGGACTACTGACCAAATTACCAGTTAAAAATGTCAAAAGTGATCTATCTGTATACTAAGTACTGCAAATATTCGCGAATCCTCAGCTGCCGATCTTTGGCTCGTATTCGAATACGGTGGCGTTAGTTCGCTCATATGGTTGTTAGTTTGATTAGTGATGAAAAAAAAAGCATTTTCAGGCTTTCCCAATCTCATCGACTGTCACCGAACTGAGAGGAGAACAACGGAAACATGATTTGTTTTCAGGAACAAACATTTCTTGTGCCCTATCTTTGTGATAACAATTTAAATTTCAAACTTTTCTCTACTTTTCCGAGGAATGGAACGGGAGTGCATGTATTCCAGAGAATTCTTGATCACTGTTTCATTTCGGCTGGCAGTTTAATAAATTTAGCTCAAAGGATACCCTCTTGAAGATAATGACTCTTTTCAATACTTTAACATCTTGCATTCGCTACTATCAGATGTGAATCTATCAACGACATGGACAGTTGACTCAACGACGACAGCACAAGGATACGGCGCACAAGAAGTGAATGTTATTGTGATGAGTTGCGCAATCTGTAGACGATGACAGTGAATGAAACAAATGAATATGAGTGTGATAGATAGTGTGGCACCTGCAGATCGAAATCGGATTCGAACGAAGTGGCCGGACTGAACGAGTGTTCATTGCTTTCACGCAGCGACTCAAAGGTGGTGCTCGAGAGCGCACACAACGGTGCATGCTGTATCGGTGGAGTGCCAACGTGGAATATGGCCGTTCGAAGAGGTGATATGGGTGAGGCGGTTGGCAGCTCCATATTCTTGAAGTTATGCCGTCGTTTACCCACCGACTGTTCCACGATTACACTTTGGCTTAGCGGCGTTTGCGTGAACATTGGTGTGGACTGNCGCCGCCGCTAAACTAGACGAGAGAACTGCCGATGGAACACTTGATTGTGGGAGTATGGCTTGTTGTTGAGCAGCAGGTGGTAGTTGTTGTATGATGGTTACAGCATCGCTCATTGTGCTCATCGTGCAGGTTTCATTTTCAGAAGACTGTTGACTACTACCATAGTTACAGATTGACAACGATTGTTGTGGCGTTATGAGAGCACGTGAAACCGACGACGAATCTTCATGCGCTAACGCCGATATCGACGAAGAAGTGGTGCTTCTTGAGAGTGGTTTTTCAGCAAACGCTTTTGACGGATACCTGCACAACGGTACTAACTCAGCTGCACTCGACACTTTAGAAAGGTGTTGTGAGGTTGACGGTGGCTGTGCCTGTGTCTGTTAAAGAAATACAAATCAACAATGTACGACGCAAACATTCATTCCAATGAAACGAAACGTGAATTAGTAAGAAACATAAAAAATAAAAATAAAATTATAAAATGTTCGTGAAGAAATTATAAAAACGTTTTGAAATCTTAAAGATTCGAAAAAAAAGAATCGACAAAAAATCGCCCGTAAAACCCCAAGCGAG